AAAGTATGTGTATATATATATAGTTCTATATATATATATGCATATATTATACAATAGAATGTATGTATATATATATATATATGATTATCTATGAGTAGTAAAGCGTGGCAAACACAATTCCAATGCTCAAAAGCTTCTGGGTACAAGGGTACAAATCAATACATAAAGGGCCAGCCCAAACCAAGGGAACAACACAAAAAGCTAAAAATCCTGCAGCTTCGGAGCATTTGGACAACAAGAACTGGGTGAGGTAGTAGCCGGCATGCGCGTAGTAGAACCTGAGTTTTCAGTCGACTCACGACGGAGCGGAGCGAGCCGTGCGTGAGAGTATTGGGAGGGAGAAAAACATGCTTTCCTCGACAGGTCATGTAGACTTATGAATAAACCACCCTCCCAGTTGGATTTGCAAACCATGTAAAACCTCCTCAGGCCTCGGGGCGCTGAAAACGACGAAGTCTACGAAGTCTACAGTCTACACGGACTGTAGAAGAATCGAGGGGCGGAGGGCACGGATCCACCTTACCAGGTTCACAGGCCCAGAAGTCAGGGCACGGATCCAAGCCACCCTTTTTGAGACCCCTTGACATACTATCTATGAGAATCTGGTTTTGAATCCAGTGGGATTCTTGTCCACGTCTAGGATGTTCGGAGAGGGATTAGAGGTCTTCCAACACAACCATAACGTGCAGAGTTTTACCACCTACGTTACGTACCCTTCCTGCCGGTCCCTTGGTGCAGCTGAGGCACGTCAGAAACTCTGGAAGATCCTAGGCGCGAAGTCGCGGTTCTGGTCCGGTGGGAGTCAGACATCTTGCTTCGATGATGAGTCAAGAGAGATATGAATCACAGAATTATGGATTCATATGTTGTGATGTTTTTTTTAAACAAATTATATATTTCATCACAAAAATATGAGTCACATCACACTCATCGAGTGGGTGCTTCTGGACTCAAAGCACACCGGATGTGCCCGAGTTTTTTAGCAACTGGCCACTTGGGTGATCTTCGACTCTAGCCGCTCGTGTGCCTCCAGTCTCCGCACTCACAAATAACAAAAACTCAGATCCTTATGTACCTCATGGTGAATCTTCCTGGAAACGAAGTCCTTTAATAGGTGCCAATTCGTACCTGGCCTGGACTGCGATCATGATGCAAAAGAGAATACAACAAAATGGGCATCAGCCCAAAAAGCAGCTGAAGCCAAACTGTATACAGTATGTTCTTAAATGTTTGCTTTAAGCTTGGGAGTGAAACAACTGTAGACAAACCTTTGCTTGTGAAATCCCCTGCCAAGATATTTCGGTGTGCGACAGAGTAAGTGGTGGCCAGGGGTGTGTGTGTGTGTGTGTGCTTTGCTTGCTCAGAAGACAAGGAAGGGACAAGGAAGGTACCATGTCCTGACAGCGGAGCTCCGCTCATGGGGCCACCATTCCACGGTTCCACGACTCACCCAAGCGGCCATCTCATGACCCAAGCGGAACATCTGGCGCGTGAGGAGTTGCTCACCAGTGCCCTGGGACAGCTTAGCAAAGAAGAAGAGCACCTTAGATCCACAGCAGAGCCGCTCGGGGGTTGCGACGAGCGAGCAAGGGACTCCACTGCACAGTCTTTTCATTGGATGCATCCGGCTCGCGAGCCCCAAGGGATGGAAATATCCGACCCAACCTCTTCCGACCCAACCTGTGGATTGCAAGGAGTGCGCCTTCTTGGTTTCTGGTCGTCTGTCACTCAAACAAAGTAAAAGCATCCTTTCAGCCAAATACACAAAACATAATTACTGGAAAGAAGTGCATGGCATCGGTATCTCCAATTCATATTATCTTGTGTCCTGCATGGTTAGTTAGTTCTTTAGATTGGTGATTACTCATACAGGCAAAGCGGATGGTGCATGTCCACAGACCATGGATTAACCGAAGCAGCCTCGTGTTGCTTTTGCCACAAAAGGACAGCGAAGCGGTTCAAGGCCGCGAACTACGCTTTTCAACAACCAGGTCTTGAAAGGTGTCCAAGAAAACGAAGAATCTGGCAGCACCAGCTTGGATGAGTCTTCCTCGGCCCATTCGAGTGGGCCCCCTGCGTCTGCAGTCCTTGAAATGAAAGCTCCAAACAATGCAGCAGTGGCTAACGCAAAAAAGGATCAAAATCCGATGTTTGCTGAAGGCCCTTTGAAATAGGGTACACATTTCAAAAATTGAACACACACTATAAAAATATATAATGGGACTCTCCTCAAATCTTTCGAGTCTCCTTTAGCGTCCATACATCCCCCCACAAATCTTGCCGTGGCGCAGAATTGAAGCCCAAATCTCTCCCCTTCCCGACATGGAGGTATTCACGATGCACAATGGAACGTGGCTTGCCCCTGCCAACATACGCAGGTGGGCAAACTGCAGTGACTTTTGGTGTGTATTGATCCCCCTTTGGTTGGTTAATGGGTTTGCTCTGGATTTGGGGGTCTCCCTCTTCCACTCCACTCGTTATATATACACCCATATCATCTTAGCAACCACGTGAACTGGCCGCAGCTCAAATAAGGCAGAGTTGTTTTTTCGTTTAGAACACACGCGACACAAATTCACTGTCAAAAAAGGACTGACACGTCATGTCCATGCTCGACGTGTCAGGGGACCTGCGACAAGGAGCCATCTCAAATCCCTGCACCTTCACCCCGCTGAAGAGAGTGGGGGAAGGATAGTCCCGCATCACCTGTTCTAGGTGACAATCTGTAAAAATACTGGATGGATAGCTGTACTCCCCACTAAACCATCCAGTTAGGGGTTTGGTCGTAGCTCAATTGGCGAAGAAAAATCCGCAACAACCTGAGTGCCAAACGCCTTTAGACCTCCGGCCCTCACACTTCTTAGCACGTTCATTGACGAAAACGCCACTCGTTTCCACCAAAAGGTGGACTGAAAACGCCCAAAAATGCCATGGGTCATGCGACAAGCAGCAACACTCTCGAGCTCGAAGGGGTGAAATTTGGGTGTTCCCTCCCATGCGCTCGAGCCCACAACCACTGCCGCCATGCCTGAGAGTGAAATCCATGCCAGCAAAAATGTCCTGCGCTGCTTCGTTGAGCTGAATTACTCTTCGCCCCAACCAAGATCAGCCTGTCTCATTCATGCAATCCATGTTTTCAACCCCAAGCTGGTGATCTTTACATCAGCACCCTGGACCCGTCTCAACTGCGCTGTGCTAGCGCAGTTGGGTGTGTCCTCCGAGAGGTTGAGCATCTTTGTCGCTTTTGAGATGCCTCCTTGTTGGATCATGAACTCCTTGTTCATCATGTCCTGGAGGAGATGAAGAAGTTGCAAAAAGGAATCTGTTACTTGGACAGGCATTGAAAAAACGTGCACACTGTTCCTCAAACACCAAGTGGCACAATGATAGTTTAAGCGCCAGGAAGAGAGTCCCCATGCTACGGATTCCTGGAGATAATATGTCTCTTTGCTCTATCAGCTACATTCAGCTAGCACAGCGTGCCTGTGATCCCAGCTCTTACCCCTACCGCTTCAGGATCCACCCCACCGTTCTCGGCATGTTTCATCGCTTCAGCCCGGGTGCGGGATGTCCATAGTGCATGCGCGCACCCAAAAAGGCCTCAGACAAAACCATCCGGGTGCGTGAGACCGCACTAGCGAGTCGAAGGATTTCGAGGTCAGATCCCATCCAGGTCCTGCTTGAAAAAAGGACCACATCCCCAAATCCTGCTGGATTTGGTCCCTCCCGCGCTTTGGGTAGTGGGTCGTGTTTGAGGCCGAAATTGGAATCCTCCGGTTGGTCAAGACGGATTCCTGGCTCTGGTCTGAGCCACATACTCTTGAATCTCCATAAACATGCTGCAACGCATGAACCAATTACCCCGTTCGACCTCACAAAAGCCCATCGCTCACATCCAAGGAACATAGCAACGCTGGAGCACTGTGCCGAAGGCTGTCTCCGCGCCCGCGGCAAAGTCACCCAAGGAGCCGATGTCACCTGAAACAGAAACATGGAGTCGTTTTGGTGGTCACATGTGTTTTGCAAAACACAGTTTTGGTGGTCATTTGCTTTTCACCATATCATGGAGCAATTTCATGACTCCTGGTTTTGAGTCATTGTTTTGGAAACCTTACTAGTCGCCAACACAGAACACGGTGTTCGACCCAAGATATGCATGCTCAAGATATGGATCTCGGGGGTGTTGAGACCAAACATCTAAGACCAGGTTGCAAGCGTTCAAACTGGGGAGTTTGGGAGATGGTTGGGATCAAAGCTTAGGCTTAGGTTCCAAATCCATGGGGATCAAGGAATATATCCCGAGATGCCAATTTGACATGCCTCACCTAGTAACATGTCCCAAAGAACTATTCCTGTGCAACTTCAAGGAACCACCTCCGTTTTGGACCCTTTGAAGACTTGCGTCAAGATGCTGGTGATGTGCTCGGCAAAGCCCACGATGCGCGGATTCAGCAACAAGGTGTGTGAACTGTCCTGCTTGGTCCGACGGAATTCGCCCAATGCGCACGGCAGCCTCAGAAGTGGCTGCAAAAATCTCAGAAGTGGCAGCCTCGAACAAGGAGCTCACACAGTTTCTTCCATCCCAGCATGGAAGGGTTGCTTTTTCGAGTGCCCTTCGCTGACCGCACCGCCACGCGGGTTCGAGAAGACGTCCTAAAGGAAACAAAATACTCCCATCTCTGGTTTCTTCTGTTCTGTTGATCCACGAAAGTCGCGCAGCTTCATATTCTTCTGTTTTCTCACGGCCGCTGACCGTCGAGTCACAGGAGCATCTGTTCAAAGTAGCCTCCCTGATTGGAATCAATGGCCTGGCGAAGCATGGTGGGGGACGAGGTATCAAACCTTCGGGCCTGTTGTCATGAAAAACGGGCCCCGTGCTTTTGCATGTTTTGACATGTTTTTACACTGTCTTCCCTCAAACCAGCTTCAGGACAAAAGTTGGATAGTGGATAGTCAGGAAACTTGCGTAGACTGGAAGGAGCAGGTGATTGTCTTTATCATTTTCCGCAAGAAAGGTTGCAGGCTTTGATTGCTCCAAATCAAGCTGAGAGGTCCTCAGCATTGCTTCTCCATCCTTGTGGACAGCAAACATAAAGACGCTGAAGTGAGCTCCATCACGTCCACTTCAGCAAGCACTCCATCTTCGTAGAGAGCTCCAAGAAACAGACCCAGTTAGACTGGATGATCAGGTTCACAAGGACTCCACCCTTTTGAACCGAAAATCTAGACAATGAATTACATGTGTGTTCTGGTCGCACACAGACTCAAACGTGAGTTTCTTCGGTGTCCGAATCAAACGTCTTCGCTGGACTCGGAGGTGGTCTGAGGATACTTCTTCACTGGACTGTGGTAGGTCTCACCATGTGTGTGCTGATCCACGCCTTCAATCTCCTGCTCCTCTGGGATTCGCAACTTCATCACCAGCCTCAAGGCCACCACAATGATGGCAGTGCCAACGGCTGAGAAGGCGACACCTGCCATGGCACCAGCAATCTGCTTGGCCAACAGCTCGAAATTCCCGGTGTAGATGAGGCCACCATCTAAAGCGAAGATGCCCGTCAAAATGGCCCCACCAATGCCACCCATACCATGCAAGCCAAAGGCATCCAGAGTGTCATCCACCAAGTTCGCCTTGTTCACAAGCTCGACGGAGACATAGCACCAAACAGCACCCAAAGCCCCAATAGCAATGCTCCAACCAGGTGTCACAAAGCCAGCGCCCGGTGTGATGCAAACAAGTCCGGCCACCGCTCCGACAGAAGCTCCAACACTGGAAGATTTACCCTTCAGGAGGCGCTCAAGCATCAACCAGCTCAACATGGAGGAAGCAGCAGCCACAAAGGTAGTGGCCACAGCACGGGCTGCCACACCATCGCTCACTGACAAAGCAGACCCGCCATTGAAGCCCAGCCAGCCAAACCACAGGAGGCTGCCACCCAGGATCACGAAAGGAGCATTGGCAGGCCCCAGCTCCTTCTCCACATGTCTGCGGGGTCCGACGATCGCACCAGCCACCAGACCAGACACGCCGGAGCTGATATGAACCACGGTGCCTGTGGAAAGGGTGGCGTGGCCCACATGGCGCAGAACCCGTAGGATTGCATTGGAACAACATACGGAAAAAGCCCAGACAGTATGTCATGACTGGTTTTCACTTGTTGAACTGCATGAAACTCGACAGCATGTGAGAAAAATGTGAATCAACTTGGAGTGCCGAGAGCGAACCGAAGCCAAATCCACAGTGCCTCCTGCAAAATCAAGAGCTCCCATCTCCGCAATCCAACCACCAGGGCCCCAAACCCAATGGCAGAGAGGTGCATAAATCAGCAAAGACCACAAGGCCAACATGATGGCGTAGGCACTGAAGCGCATCCGCTCCACCAAAGAGCCTGAGATGATAGCAGATGCAATAATGGCGAAGGTCATCTGGAAAGCTGCGAAACAAAGACCTGGAAGCCCAGAATCACCCCACATCTTCATGTCCCGGTTCATCCACAGGCTGTAGTCGAAGTTCCCCACAATGTTTCCAATGGCTGCACCGCCATTGTCTCCAAAGGCCCAAGAGAACCCGAAGACAACCCAGGTCAAGCATACGATTGCCATTGATGCTACACTCATCATCATGGTGTTGATTACGTTCGTGTCTCGCACCAAACCACCATAGAAGAAACCAAGTCCAGCTGTCATCAAGAACACCAAAGCTGCCGACGTCAGGACCCATGCAACTGCACCAGTGTTCACAGCGTCTTCTGTGAGCGCAGGATTTGCCATGGCTCACTTGTAGTCTGACGAGGGGTGGCACTGGAAGATCAAACCTGAACTTGCTTGAGCCGAAGTGTTTTTGTTTCCATACTGTAATCACTGCAAGCCTTTCTCCTCTTTGGACGCTTCTTTATTGTCTTGTTCTTCTCTTTTCTTGTCTCGTTCTTTCTTATCTTGTCTTTTCTTTCCTTGTCTTTCCTTCTCCAACCTGCACAAGATACAACCGATTGCTGCTCTTCACTGCCTGTATGATAGAGCCTCGAGTGTAGATGATCCTCAAAGGCCGATTGGCATTTGCTGGAAAGCACACACCTACAGGGTCATGTATATAAGTTCATCGCCTGCCGAAGCCTGGGCAGTGTAGGTTGAACCCCACATGGCCCTCTGCAACACCACCTTGATACTCGTCAAGAACCACAACTTTGACTTGGGATAGTACCTTGGGGGGTTGCCTGCCCTGCCGAAAGGATGACGCCCTGCAGTCCCTGTCGTGTTTCCACTCTAATCCTCCCAAGAAAAATATGAGCCTTCAAGCATTACGAAAGCTGAAGCCCTCTTCTTAGAGCTGCGATGGATAACCATGTCAAAGGGTGTTGAAACTTACATCATAGCAACCACCCACAAGCCCACTGCAGTCCAAGCTTCCCTGTATTCTGGTTATCACCCTTGCCATCGCCAAGTATAGGAAAGCCTGCACTTGCCAAGCAGTTCTTGCTTTGTAAATCCGTCTGTCAAGAATCGAGAACACCGCTGGAGGAGCACAGCGCTCAATCTTAAAGAAATTCGGTCTGATTCCAAGGCACCACACAGTCCCAAGGCCCTCCTGCCTGGCAATTCCACTGTAAAGCGTGGCGCACGCCGCTTGCTGCTGGGCTTCTCGTAGTCGCACTTGGCATCAATGAGACAGCTGTAGTAACCTGGGGCAATGTGTATCTTCACCGCGCCAAACCCTTGGCAAATATACAACAGCTTGAACAACCCATATATAATTACAAAGCATGCCTTTGTTTCCTCAATTCCGCTTGTTGTGGTAATACCTCTTCAAGAATTCATGGACAATCTATGATGATATTTCAATCGTTGAGCCGATAACCAACCGAAGGGCGGCGTTCCTGCTTCGGATGAATCTGGTCAATCTTCCAGTTCGGGCCCTTCTCTTGGAAGCCGATATACGCAATCTGAAAGCTCCTCCAAGCGGTCAAGGGTGAACTCCGAAGGAATTTCGCTAGCTTTTCTGGTTTGTCAGGAAATGGCACCAAGACATCTGGTCTAACAAGGACAGCAAGTAGGAGTAGGAGCCTGGGAAAATCCTCCTGTGGCTCTTCTTGCCCGTAGATGGGAAGCAAGAGGACGGAATGCACAAGCCAACTTTGGAGGTTCGGCAACGGCAGAGATCAGCTTCACCAAAATTCAGACTCACCCGCAGCGTCTGAAGCACAAGCCCGAGGCCAAACCCCCCGAAATAAACCACCGGTCCGGTCTTGCGCGGCTCCTGGGGAAGCGACGCAGGAGCTGATCGGCATGGTCCAGCTTGACGGCATCAAAGTAGGCATATTGCTGCATGCACCCCATACAGGTAAAGACCTGGAACATCGTCTCATGCTGGACAGGCGTTCGATGGGCACACCCCTTTTAATCCCTCCGTTTTTATTGCGCTTTCTGAAGACCGAGGGATGGAATGTCCACCCTTTGAGCACCCCCAATCGGCCAAGATCGGAGGATATGAGGCTGTCCATTTCAGGAGAACACCTGGAAACCGGAGATAGTCCATCAAGCTGCAACTGGGAGAGGCGACGACTTCAGGCCTGATCTCACCGTTGATCCTATCCTTATACCTTGTACCTTCCACGAAAGGGAATAGTTATCAACGGAGAAAATCGACTCTACATGACTCTGCCATCAAATGGTTTGAAAGAGCAAGAGTTGGGTGAACAAAGCTGCGGGCCACCAGGCAGAATCAAACATCGATGGCATGTCCCATCTGTCAAGGAACCGCACTGGCGTCCCATTTCAGCTTCGACTTTCGATGGATATGGCCAATCATTTGCTCGAAGCGTTCAAGTGCTGGAAGGTAGAGCCTCAACGGACTGCGGGATTCTGACCATTTTGGCACCTACAAAAGGGATCCCTGGACTTCTGTCCAGGATGATTTGGACACAGACAGTCTGGTGCTCCCTACAGCTCAAGCATCCAAGGGACATGCACCCTTCGACGGTTCGCCAAAAGGTTTGGGAGCGCATTGACGCCCAAAGGCCTCGCATCTCAACACAGTTCAAGCAGAAACCAGCCATTGGGTCTGGACAGAGTGCAAATCGACCGAAACTCGAAACCCAATTCTCCCTATCTAACTCACACCCATGTGCAATACTGTCTGCTTGTCAGTCCACATTTGCTGATCCTGAATCCTCATCCCCATACTGGCCACAGTGGGGATGAGCCATAGCCAGCACCCAACTAGAGATATCCCAAAACAAGGTGCTACCACCCAAGCGTTACAGTTCAAGGATTTATGTACTCAAGAACAAGTGAAGAGAAGTGGAAATTGGCACTGCCAAGCTGCAAATGTGTTTCCAGTGCTTATCCTCATACGCATCCCTTAGAGCATCCGCGAACGAAAGAATCTCAGACAAACTGCAAGACGCATTTGCTGCAGACCTTCCATTGCAGCCGTGCCACCAATTGTTCCCATGATCTGGCCAGCTACTGTATTGGGACTTCATGCGGTTTGTAAAGGCGATAAAGTCATCGTGGTACCTTGCATGTCGCAAATCAGTCAAAACAATAGCACAACTCCTGTGAAGGGCCAAACCTCTCAGTTCAACCCAGTCCTTGAATTGCTTGGAGGGCTTCAAGCGAAAAAAAAAAAAAAACACCTGATTTTCTGCCTTGCCGTGATTCGCCCAACACATCTAAGTGCTGCTGGCCTCTTCTCCAACCAGGCAATCAAAGGCACATCCTGTGTGTCCTCGTCCGACGAGGAGAAACGGCTGGTCGTTCCGTGCAACGAGGCGACACGGCGACCTGGAAGTTGAGACACAGAGAGAAAAGCTTCTGGTAGATTCATCAAGAGTCCTCCTCTTTCTTGTTTAGATCTTTGAGGTCGTGCTTCTCCATCAAGATTTGCTCTCCATAGTGAGGGATAAGTACCTGAAGCACCACGAAGCTCTCTGATGAACGGCAAAAGTAGAGAAAGAAAAAATAAAGAACTCGTCTCGTCTCGTCTGGTCTCGTCTGAGTCGTGTTGGATCGCACCGTGAGACCAGGCAAATAAGGCGTCAAGAAGGGCCGAGGCAAGTGGTTGGAGCCCAGATTACCTGAGAACATCAATCGAGCCAGACACGCCAGACACACCCATCCATTCCGGTGGAACCACCTGTCCACCCAAAACTCGACCTAGCGCACAACAGAGTGAGAAGCTTATGAAGAGGATCCCACGAGATGAACAAGTTGCTTCCGGGTTCAAATCGCACAATGTATATCAGCGGCCAAAACGAGAGGTCGCAAGTCGCTTTGGGGGTCGAAGGTCACATGACCCTTAGATGGGCCAGCTGCGAGCAAAGGCTGAGAGCCGCCATTGCACCTCCAGGTTCTTGGGCCAGGAGTCACTTGGAATGATCCCTGCGCACGGCGCAGAACACCTCTCTCGAACAAAAAGCAAGGACCCCTGCCGCCCACCAAACCTGGGAAAAACAACACCCCTGTGCACGTGGCTTTTACTTTACGAACCAAACGCTGCCCTGAAACATGCCAAAAAGGCCGCGTTTGGGGCTGGGTGCCTGCATGACGCTCGATAAAGCGCTGGCCATAGGCCAACTCAGTGAAAATGGATGGAAGCATCACCAGGTCCTGCTCCTCCAACTTCCTCAGATAGGGCAAAGACCTTAAAACTATGCCGATGTCCGAGTTTCTGTGGCCTGCAGCTTTCTACAAGAGATTCTCATCCCACCCGCATCCAAAACAACTTCAGGTCTGTCACCTGTCACCAAGCGGCCGAGCACACAATCTCTGCATGGCTCTCCATGGCTCTTCATCCTTTTCCGTCTCGGTCGACGGTGCCACCGTGACGCTGAACTTCAATTGCGCTGCAGTGAAGTCGTCCAACTTGTCCTCCGGGAGACGAGCACTGTGGAGCGCACTCGACGGACGGACCGGAAGGGCCGGAAGCTTTCTTTGCAACGGGCGGACCGGAAGGAACACCGACGCCTCTGGAGAATTGGAACGTGATGAATGAATGGTGACGACCGATTCACACCATCTCTGGAGAAGTGGATGTACATTGACATCAGGAAACTAGTGCTCTGTGCGCCGTTCACATGTTGAGATGGAGGAACAACTCATCCATGTATATAGAGAAAAGCTATAGATATTTAAAGTAAGAACCCCATGATGCTGCCGCTAAGGACGCCACTAGGGGGCTCCTGGTCGTACTACTAGGAGCAAGGACGCTATCAGGGCCTCCTCGCCATACTACTAGGAGCAAGGCCGCTACTAGGGGCTCCTGGCCGGATTCAAGTAAGAACCCCATTGATGCTGTCCCTGTTGGAGAAAACGGTGAACTCATCAAGCCGTGCTTTCGACCCCTCTCCTCGCAGCGCATGAAGTCGATGATGAGATCCTCAGTCGTTCACCGCAGGAGGGTTCACTCCTTCGTCTCCTTGTCAGCGCCAAGTTGGATATGTTGGGCACCCATGCTAAGTTGGATACGTTCCACGCTTGCGTCTCTTACTTTGACCCGCTAGTTGAGACCCGCAATTTGAGACACTTACTTTGACCTGGAGCCAGTACGATAGCACGATCTCCCGCAGAAACTGCGTCCTTCGTCCTGCATGCAGTGTTCATCCATGACAGGTCAAGTTGATACCGGGTAAATGCTATTTCTTGCTGCCTCGCTGTCTGTGGATCTTTGTGCGCATTCTCAATGTGTCAGGATTCTCACAAGCAGTGAAGCTGACTTTGGCGGTGTCAGAGCAACTGGAATTCAAAACACGTCTGCCTCTACCCAATCACCCAGTGCAGACCAGGCTCCCAAAGCGAAGGAAACCACCTGGCCAAATCTTGGACACGTTCTGGCTTTTGGGCCCACCGGTGCCGAACCCCCGCCAACAAAAGAGAACTTGGTCTGATTGGCTTGTTGGGCATTTCGACTACGCCTGGAGGGCACCAATTCCAGATCATTGGGAGGCAGGAAGTCCTGGCGAACACCGAGCCGACCAGAGGTCACGTCCTCGGAACGACGTAGACGTGTCTTCTGCGGACGTGATGAGCC